TAAAAAGTCAAACTCATAGAAACAGAGTAGAAAATTGGTTATCAGAAGGGTGGAGAAAACAGGTAGAGGTTGGTAAAAGGGTTTAAACTTGTAGTTATATAAAAATACTGTAGCTTTCTTTTTGGAAATGTAAATTACAGTTGTTGAAATTTTGGAACAGAATTTTCATATAATTTGGTAATTTTTCAGAAGGTAAGAGTGCCAGAGCTGGAAATGTTTTTTCTTTTCTTTTTCTTTTTTTTTTAAATTTTTTAATTTTTTTTTATTGTTTTACTAGAGGCCTGGTGCACAAAAATTTGTGCACTCGGAGTCTGGCCAGCTCACCCTGATGGTGCCGATCAGGCCGGGCTGGCTGGGGGGAGGGGCCGTGGGAGGTTGGCGGACCACCCCCTGATGGGGCCAGGTGGCTGGCTGCAGTTCACATCATATCAACTGATCGTTCTGGTTGTTCCAATGTTCTGGTCACTTGGCATATGTGTATATATATATATACAGTATTACTGATGTCCCACAATTTTACCCCCCTTTCCCCCCTCCTCCCAGCCCCTACCCACCCCATTCCCAGGTCTTTGCTACCCTATGGCCTGCGTCCATGGGCTGTGCTTGTAGTACATAAGTTCTTTGGTTTATCTCTTCTTGTCCTCCCCCGGACACACACACACACCCCCACATCGAGGTACGTCAGTCTGTTCCATGCCTCCCTGCTTCGGGTCTTATTTTGTTGGAAAATGGAACATCCGTTTTAAATATGCCAGCCAGGTCGCTACAGTTGCGAGATGATCCGGGAATGCCTTCCTCTCCCCTCCCCTGCAATCACTCTCTCCCGTTTCAGCTGCCCCGGGGGGCTGCACCGCACAGCTTCTCTGCCTCAGACCTCCCTGAGCTGCAGGAAGATGCTCTGTCCCTGCTGAAGCCGCTGGGCTGCAGGGCAGCGTGCAAGCTCCGGACCAGAGCCGCCAACTGACAACAGCACCAACAGCCCCGGGGGCTAGGGCTCCGCAACAGGGAGGCCAGAGCGAAGAGGTGTCTGCACACCTACAACCAAACAGGGTCTTTCCCCGCCCAGAGCAAACCCTGCTCCTTCCTCAGAGAGCCCAGAGCTCCCTCACATGCGGCTCGCCCTCTTACAGCTTTGCCTGGATCAGTG